TTTTATTTTTCCCTTTTTAGTGTAGACAGTAGTAGCAATGTAAGGATTCTAACGTGTTAGGCTTGTCAAATCAAACAAAATAAGCCCAAACTCAAAGTATCTACTATTAGCCGTTGAAGAGTTCCACCTATCCACCTTCTGGCCTTGCCATCAGATCAGGTCAACAACACCGAACCACTGTACTATCAACGGAAATAGAAATACTTGCAAAGTTTCAAGTCAATATGACAATTAGAAGTACGTTAAATTCATCATTAGTTGTTTTTCCACCCTTAGGGGTGGTATTTTTTTTGAAATTTAAATGGGACCAATCTGGAAGTACACCCTTTCAAACAAAACAAAAATTGTCCAAATCGGTTAATAAATGACGGAGTTCTGAGGTAACAAACATAAAAAAAAAAAAAAAAAAAAAAAAAAAAATACAGTCGAATTGAGAACCTCCTCCTTTTTGAAGTCGGTTGATAATGAAAACTCTCATCGCGTCATTGATAACACAATGTATTCATATTCGGTTACAAAAGCATGGGACAACTCATTAGTAATAATTTAATCAACATAGAGACAGTTATAGTCATCGACATTTGTTCTTTACAATGATGAGCAATATCTTTTGTACCTTTCAAGTTTCAGCGCAAAATTATTATTTATTTCGATGATTTTGTTCACAAGTTCATGGGTTTTAATTTTTCTGCGCGGAACCCTAATTCTTTTTCTAAAATAAAAGTATCATAAGTCACTCCTTAAAACATCTTCTATTATCCAGTGAAAGTAACGTCAAATTTTTCCACCCATTTCGATGATTAGCTGAAACAAACAGACAAAAAATATAAACATTGTTTTTTTCTTTTAAGTACCGTGAATGCTTTCATAATATGCATTTAGTATAAAGCTGTTATTTTGACATTACAAACAGAAGTTCAATTTTATTTATTTGTATAGATAAAATAAAGTAGGCAGCTTCCGGGTGTGCTGTACCTATCTATTCAGGATGGAAAATAATACTATATTGAATTATATTAAGAAAAAGTTATACACAGTAATTTTGCCCAAGTACCACCACCTAGCGGCAAAAGTGTACATTCATTCCAATCTCTCGATCAGAAAATTAAAACGTATGTTTATTTTTATATTAGTATCGTCATGCGCCGATAGATGGCATAGCTTTTAAATACATGTTAAAATAATTTTATCTTAGTTTGATAATTTTTTTTAAATTTAAATCATCAAATTAAAATTATACTCATGGTGAAGGAGGTCCTGGGTTCAAGTCCCAAGGTCGAGCCAAGTATAATTACTGACTTTTTTCCGATATTATCAGTATTAGTCCGGAGTTAAGAAGTTGACGATGCACCCCCGTGTCTCGAAAAGTAAAAGGAATAGAGTGCACATTGTGTCTGTGCGTACACTTGTGCATTACAATATCTGCTATATATCTATAAGTAGTTAAAATTGAAAGGAATTACTATAAATATATACAAAGACTATAAAACTGGCCAATAAGACTTGAAAAACTTGAGAGATTCTTTACATTGACATAACTTTTTATTTCCGAACAGATTGAAATTAAATAAATATTAAATGTTAAGAGAAGCTTAACACGATACATTAATGAAAATCGCACCCAAATTGGTTAAGCCGTTTTTGAGTTTAGCGCGCATAAACGCACAGATAAACAAACAACAATTTTAAAAATCGTTGTTTGGGTTCTATTGCGTTAATAAAGACCTCCAATAACAGGTTTTCTCAAATATCTGCCATTTACAGACAACTATCTGTTTTATTATATGTGTAGATTTAATCTGTTACTTATTAAATTTACCAAGTGGTTTTATGTAAGCCGTGTATTGGAATCATAAAAAGGAAACGAACTCCGGCTACCTTGAGGCTGTGTACCATGGGAGTTGCTCCTGGTACTTCTCTGACAGCAAAGTGGACCGTGGGAGCAACCTCATTGTTGTTGTGGTCTGCTTCCGCAGGCCTACTGTGGGGGCGTCGTGATTGAGTGCTTAAGCGATGCTACGACGCCCCATTGAGAAAGGGGAGGTTTGTTGGGTTTTAGTGGGTAGTAGTGGCTTTTCTAGTCTAACCTGTGTACATATGTATACTTACTGTATACACGTGCGTAAATAGCATTTCCCTACCTTAAAATAAGGTAACACTTATTGATTGTGGTCTAAAATGAAATATACGAGTAAAGTAACAAGAAAACTAGTTCTCAATATAAACTTAAGGGTAAGGGAGAAATAATGAAATACAAATATATTCATCTCATTTATTTAAAAAGAATTACAATATCAAGACTCAAATCAAAACTTACAATAATGACGTGAGAATAAAACCTTAAGGAATACAAATTGAAAAGTCTTACAATAAGCTATATCTAATGAATATTTGGAATAAAAATTCATGTGTTTTTAAAATTGTTATACAATTGACAACTTATGTAGCGAATGAAAAACGATGCTTCCTGTATTTTATATGGATATGTTTATTTTACTCTTCTTAAGGTCACTAGTTTGATTCCCGCTTGTGACCTAATATAGCGGAAAAAATAAAAAAAAAACTTCTAAGTTAATTGAAGCTTGTTTGATGTTTTTAAACTGATAAATTCTTTGTTGATTGATGAGATTGAACTCGATTGAAAAAAATGGATATACCTACCCAATTTTTCGTCAATTCTAATTTTCATTATTTTTTCTAATGTATAGGTTATTCCTAAAGCCCCCTATTTCCATATGCTGATTATTTTCTACATGATTACCATTTGTCTTGGCTGGCCAAGTTGGCGGGTTGGCAGACATGTGAAGTTCGCCAACCCGCACTTGGCCAGCGTGATTGACTATGGCTTGATTGCACTCGTATCGAAGGAAGGCGCTTGCCCAGTAGTGTGACGTTAAAAAGAGCTGCCCCGTACAAATAAAAAAAATCATTATAAGGGAGGAATAATTACATTGCAATTTATATTTTCAACTGTGTCCCCCTTTAGAAGTTTGTAATTTGTAATTATGCAATTTACTACACACGATCACATCTAAAGTAAAACTGTACGACCCATCTTATTCATACTTAATCAAATATCAATTCTTCAATTCCTTTTATAGTTATTAATTTATATAGTTTCTAGATATTTTAACAATATTCACTTCATAATCACTATACATATAGATGTACACATCCATCTTATAAATAAGTCATATTGCTAAGCAAATAATGATGAAAATTCAAGGTTTGCACGTTTACAGTTTTAAGACTTATCCTCCTATTTTGATCTTTCTGTGCCTAGTATATAGATGTACATTTACTTGTAATATGTACGTGCATATCCTTAAAATCACGCTTTGTCTGATTCTAGATTAACTGATTTATAATAAACTTATTGACATTTGTGGCGATAAATAAATCGAAGATTCAATAAGCTTTTTAACTGTTATTGAATCTCCAAGAAACTTATCAGTGCTTTAACTTACTTAAACAAAAGGTACATATTACTAGAGCCAGTATTAGACTTACGTAGGGTTTTACTAAGCCTGGTTTGTTATTTCAGATGATTCACAATATGTATACATTTTAACTTATTTTACTTTTGTAACATGTAGTATGCCGGTGGTCGCAGGTTCGAATCTATTCAAGAGAAAAAAATACATTATTGTATATGTTAAGCATTATTTTGCTCTGGTACAGAAAAACTTAACAATTTGAAAACAAACTACATTATTTTTATACGATTTTATTTTTAATGATCTACAAAAATATTGTATTTTGTAATTATTGTATTGACCCTCAAAATACTATTTTCATCTAAAACTGGCTTCATATAATTAGATAATTGAATAAACGAATAAATGCATATCATAATAAAACTTTATTTATCTAAACTAAATAAAATTACCATAATAATTGTGACTTTTATCTTAAATCAAATGATTACACATTTAGACGAAAATAGAACGTGCGTAAAAGCGTCTATTACTTAATAAGGCACCTCGATTTTTTGGTTTTTATTTCGTGAAATATAATTGTTATATCGAAAATACAAGTACTAAATCGATAGAGAGACTCGTTTATGTAATATAAGTTCGTTTAGATTGGTAATTAAATATTACTGCGGTAGTAAATTTTATTCTATTAATCGAGATATAATGGTTCATAGTTTTCTCAAAGTAGCGTCTTAAAGGTATACTGTAGTTTACAAGGCATTAAACAATATAGAAATTAAGATAGTCTTATTCCTGTCCATTTTTAATTTACAAAACACTTTGATTTGAAATATAAACTTGATTTATCATTTTAAATAACAAGCGAGAATGAAATGGGAATTTCAAAAAAAAAAAACTTTTTAAAGACTAATAAAGTTTATATAATTTAACGTAATATTCACTACGTATATTTAAAAATCAGAAATATTTATAAAATTCGGTTTTTTTACATTACATAAAAAGTTTACATTTAAAGACTATCTTAATTTCTAAAGTAACAGAACCTTATTTCATAATATTTTCCATTACTCTGTAGTTCCTTACAACTAACATCAAATTACACCGTAATATGGCTTTAATTATAAATAAAAATAATTATGCATAAGGAGATCAAAATATATTTGATAGTTTGAACTAAGATTTATAAGCCATACTTGTTCCTCTACATTTTTCAAATCTATAAAATTTGACTTATAAATATCAGTTTAAGAGTAATCTACACACTTCAGATTTTTTAATAACCGATATTTTAAATAAAACTAGGTATCGTTTTGATTTTTTTCGCGGATTTATTTTGATTTTTGGTTACCGGGAGACGATTGCTGTAAGGTATTCAGAATTCCGCGAACCAAAATGCAAAATAAATACGCGAAAAAATCCAAAAAAATAGTTTTATTTAAAATATCAAATATTCACGGAAATCTAAAAAAGTATTAACCGATAGTTTAATTTCCAATTATGATGAAAATTAAGTCGAAATTTTCAAATTTGCATTTACCTACAAGTTAACAATATTGACTACTAAACGCTCCATATAAAGTCTGCAGTGTGCGGGACCTCTGATAGTAATCGAATATTACATTGTGTGACGAGTTTAAAACTCGCTAGTTCGTCTTCTTCTCGTTCTGATCTTTTGATTTCGGTCGCGAACGTGTCGATTTTGATGCGACAACGTGGACCTGGAAAGAGAGAAATGTAGGGTTAAAACATAAGGCTAATAAATACATACGTAGAAAAATATTATTATAATTTTAAAACAAAACTATCTTTTCGGATTTTTCGCGGATTTATTTAGATTTTTGGTTTCTGACGTTTTGAATGCTTTATAGCAATTATGGTCACAGGAGAGACTAAGGTTGTAGACGTCTCAAAGGTCATTATATATTCGTTACAGACAGTGCCTACCCACCACCCAAAATACAAAAATGGCAACAAAGTATCTTACAACATTTGTTGATTTTAATTCTTCATATTTTAAAATTCTTTAATAAGTGTTATAATAAAGTATGGAATTATTTTTTTTTTAATTTTAGCTTATTATTACACTTTTTTAATTAAAATATATATTATTAATTAATAATTAATTTAGTGTTTCTATATATATATTTTAAAATACTTTTATTTTAAAATATCAAATAAGTAGGTATTCGCGTAAATCTAAGAATGCATTAGCTTATCATAAGTATTAACTTTAGTCCACTTAGATTATACCCTAATTTTGCACAGCTTGCTGTATACACAAAATGTGCAAAACACTAAGTGCTGCAAAGTCAAAATCTGGTTAAATAATAAAACTCATTTAATAGCTATAAAGACGGTTCAACGTCTTAACATATAAATATAATCGTCAATTATTCGCCCATATGCTTATAATATAGTATGACTCAATAGTTTTTTATACGTATGTAGATATTGTTATGCAAATAGTCGGATATTTGCATGATTTAAAATTCGCGATCTAACTTTAAGAATCTAAGTATACTTTAGATTTTTTTAATAAATCATAGATTGTTACTTAAAAGATTAAAAAGTAGTATTTTATTTAATTTTAATACAAATAAAAAAATCTGTACGTAATAAAACTCTGACACTGACTGACCGATAGACGACGCACGAAGTATGAAGTTTTGTACAAGTTTTTTTATATTTAGGCGAGAGCTAAAGGATTTTAGAAAGTTCATCCTCATAAAGAATAGAAAGAAAACTATGCTCTCTGTAAATCCCATACAAAAATACCGTGAAGTGGAGCTAAATTAACATTTGCCATAAAATCTATCTCGACTATCTAGATTTTGCGAATCAATTTAAAGATTTTCACTCTTTCCTTAAGGTAATATGTCGTCAACATAAAGTAAACAATTAAATTCAATATTTTTACCTTATTACTGCCTCGTAACCGTTTTGCCTCTAAATTTTAGAAAGAAGCTTGCTAGGTACATTCAGTACTGTACAAGCCAAAATAGTTTTATAAACTAATATTATAATATATTATGATTTTACTATTACGGTAATCGAATGAACGACCTTCGGCATATCATGCAGTCCCAAATAGAGTCGATACTGAGCTACATAATATGGATATCAAAATCTCATTTCATATATTAAACTATAAAATATGAATGTTGCTTACGATAAAATCAATAAAACTATCCATATTTTTAATAACAGGAACTTATTCTATAGATTTATTCTATATTGACATTTATAAGATCGTAATATATGTATTTTTGTATCTACAATTTTTCTCAATATAGTTATTAAAAAAATGTCGTTTTTGTACTTCCGTAGTTTTTTGGATTATGACGTTTTGTTTCGATGTAGTTTAAAAATAGCTTGAATGCTATCAGAAAGTTATGACAGTTTTAAGCTACAAGTGTAACTTGATATAATAATTAATAATATTAAAAAAATATGTCATGTACATTAAATAAATATAATCACCAAGAAGTTCCCGTATTAATTAATTAATCTAAGTCTTTAGTATTAAAAGCTTAGATCGTTTTTTAAAAAAAGTAAATAAATAACTAAAATGTAGTTGTATAAATAATGTAGTTGTAAGTATTCTAATTAGGTAAAATAAAAACAGCATTATAAGCTATAATTAAAATAACGTAACTACAGACGTAACGTATTTTGCTAAATCTAATTCCATTATACTAGATTGTTGTTAGGAAATAATATACACGAAATATCACGAAAAATACAAACAATACGTCATAGAGGAGTAATTTGTGTGACATCGACAATCTGGGAGCGGTGGGCGCACCCGAGCTAATTAGCTAATGTTCACGGAAAATCACACGATATGCTTTCTATTTAAAATTGTTTCAATGTCATATAATTTTATTTACGCATTAAATATTTTACGCATTTACAATTCATTCATTTAAACGCCTTATTTTTATTAGACTCAACGACTCTCTCGCTTCACTCGGGTTCGTCCCTAGGTACGTGTTAACGGTTAGTATGGAATAGATAGTCGATCCTTTGCTCCGTGAAAAATAAAACAAATCTATTACACGGGAACCGTACATTTTTCCAGGGTAAAAAGTAACCTATAAGCTATTCCAGACTATAATCTATCTCTGTGCCAATGCATTTTCCAGATCCGTTCAGCCGTTCTGGCGTGATTGAGTAACAAACATCCAGCCTTCTCTTTTATAATATTATAATATAGATATTGTATTATAATATTACTTACATTTACACGAATATTTGACATTTTAAATAACTAAAGGACAAAAACAGTCCAAAAGTATCTTTTTGGATTTTAATGCGTAGTTATCTTTATTTTTAGTTCCCGACGTTTCGAATGCTTTACAGAAATCATGATCAAAGGGAGAACGGAAATCCGCGAAAAAACCCGAAAAGATAGTTTAATTTAATACTAGCAAGTTTAGTATAGATTTCCCAGAGATATTTTTCCGCAGTAAAAAGTATCCTATATTATGTTGACCCGGATAAACAGCTATCAACATATTACATCATAATATTCTGTGCAGTGGTTTTCTCGGAAAAATTCTAAAATATTTGTCAATTTAATTCATGAGCATAGAATTAGATATAACATTCAAGATGTTCTTATAAATTGTATTGCTACACTATTAACATGTTGTTTTTCCAAATGTTTTTATGTACTCAATTAAAAATATCAATTAATCGAAAAACAAAGAAGATTACAAAACTTTATCAAGTACCAACTTACAGAAAAATGTCAGGATCAATAAAAACTCGACCTAGATTATAAGAACAACTAAAAACTTATTTTCGAGTAATTAAACATCGCGTGATGCGGACAGACGAAGAAGTTTTTATGTTTAGATAAACCCAACAATCTACATAATTAAGTTAGCAAGCTTAATGGAAATTTTATTTAAATTGGTTGTATGATGAATTACATGGGCCATTTAACGTTCATTTGATTACCATTTCATTCGTCGCGACCAGTAATAGTTAGTGCATGTTCGTAATACTATGTAGATAAGATGCATAAGTAATTATATGAATGCACTTTGTAATATTGTAGAGCTTTTATTATAACAGAAAGGTCTTGTCATACTGGCTACTTGCCCTGGATTCACCCAGGTCAAGCCTCAGAAGAGTACGAGTCGTTCTGTCATCTTTAATTTTAAGCTTTTACCAAACATAACTTAAGCGTTAGTAAAACCTATTATGTACCGAATGGTAAGAGCCCAAAAAAAACTGTCAAAAGAAAGATGAAAGAAACCTTTCCGGACGTGCATTCACAAAAACAATAGAGCCTATCAATTTTTTAGTAAATAATTTTTTTTATGCAAAAATTTTGAAATAAAGTGAAAATGAGTATAAAGTGTGTAGTTATCTGTACTATAATAAAAACTTTTTAACAAAAAAATAAAGCCCGACTTCAAACAAAAGCACTAAAAAGTAATAAATAACTGATTGGTAGTTTTCATTTACTATACATACCTAATCAAATATTTTCGAAGTCGGTGTGCTTTGCTTTGTATGGGCTGGCACCGATTTCGAAAATATTTGATTAGGTATGTATTTAATAGGTAGGCTTTAATTACTTAGCCAAAGCACACCGACTTCGAAAATATTTGATTAGGTATGTATAGTAAATGAAAACTACCAATCAGTTATTTATTACTTTTTAGTGCTTTTGTTTGAAGTCGGGCTTTATTTTTTTGTTAAAAAGTTTTTATTTTTCCCTTTTTAGTGTAAACAGTAGTAGAAAAGTAAGGATTCTAACGTGTTAGGCTTGTCAAATCAAACAAAATAAGCCCAAACTCAAAGTATCTACTATTAGCCGTTGAAGAATTCCACCATCCACTTTCTGGCCTTGCTATCAGATCAGGTCAACAACACCGAACTACTATACTATCAACGGAAATAGAAATACTTGCAAAGTTTCAAGTCAATATGACAATTAGAAGTAGGTTAAATTCATCATTAGTTGTTTTTCCACCCTTAGGGGTGGTATTTTTTTTTTAAATTTAAATGGGACCAATCTGGAAGTATACCCTTTCAAACGACACAAAAATTGTCCAAATCGGTTAATAAATGACGGAGTTCTGAGGTAACAAACATAAAAAAAAAAAAAAAAAAAAAAAAAACATACAGGCGAATTGAGAACCTCCTCCTTTTTGAAGTCGGTTGAAAATTATAAGATACTACTGTTGCCCGCGGCAATGCAGTTTTTGTGTTTTTGTATTTATTCTCGAAAATGAGATATTTTCCCGCGGTAAAAAGTATCCTATATGTTGACCCGGATAACCAGCTATCATCATACCAAATTTCATCAAAATATGTCCAGTGGTTTTCTCGTGATGCGGTAACAGACAGACAGACAGACAGACAGACTAAAATTCTAAAAACTAGATTCGGACTCTGTATCGATAATAATGTCTATTTTAATTAGATTTCCCAAAAAATATTTAATGTACAGATTCGACTCAGAATTTTATTATATGTATAGATAATGTTTATTTCAATAAGATTTTCCAAAAAATACTTAATGTACAGATTCGGCTTGGTTACAATTTTATTATATGTATAGATAGGTATATATATATTTTTATTATGACTTGATATTTCAATTAAAATAACACTCACAACATATTTTTACAAAAATATATATTGAATTTTATAAATACATATCTTTAAAATCAAATATTGTGTTGATTTTCATTTTACC